AAAGCATCTATTTATTCAATCATCTAGTAACACAATAAATACTAGCTAAATTGATGTTCTGAAGTAAGCCACTTGCTATATTTTAAACCATTGGTATAGAATGCAATAAATTATTAATTGTTATGTAATGATTTTAGTGAGACTTTTTTCCTAATGTCAAAAATGACATTGTACTTCTGATTGTAGTACAATGTTTTTTTCATACTTCTGATGTCATAATCTCTTCTGTCCTCATGGATGTCATAATATCTTGTATTTCAGTTAAATAGTCAGAGTTGCCATTGGTAATTTTACTTTTCTGAGGCCAAAACTAAAGTGATTTTCTCCAAATACAATCAGAACTAAGTGAACATGCATTTAAAAATAGGGGTGAAAGGTATTGCTACTAATGTAACATTTTTAATGTTTATTTCTAGGATAAGAAATCTGCAAAACATTTGGCTTCTTGCACAAGCAGGTAAGAGCTACCTTGGTTGATTGTGAGAAAAGAAGACTAGTGTGTTTGGAAACAGAAATCCTTCTGATTTAAATAATCAGTTGAAACTATTGAAAGAGGGCATCTTTTGTCCAGGTCACTTAGAACTAAATACTGTTAGCATCTTTGGCATGCCATCATGAAACAGTTTTTTGGGTCCCATTCCATCTCTTGGTGCTCATCTCTAATTGGGCTAAAAATAGCATTGTCCTAATGTCAGAGGCATCTGATAAAACTGATTTGTCACACTGTAGGAAGTCTCCTGGTCATGTAAATTTGTCTATAAGGAATTTAATTTCCACACCTATACCTGTTTGGTGGTTGACCAGAAGGAAACATAATTAACTGTCCGAAACTGCTTATACAGTTCCAATTCCAGGGGTCTCTGTGGCTGCTGAGCTATATACAGCAATTGGTCAGAAATAATGCCAATCTTTTTTGGACCAATATATTGCGCAAAAGTTTACAGGGAGGTAATGGTGCAATATGATACTTTTATTGCTGTATCTATTCTCATTTTTCCTCAACTTTTTATGTCCTGGGGGAGAGATACGAGCATGGACATTTTTAGGGGGTAATGCTTCAAATAGTGTTTCCCACACCAGATTTGAGGCATGTCTTTCATATCTAATAGCATTCTCATAGTAAATGCAAGATGATATTCTGGCACAAAAGATTCTAAGATTGCATGTGACTTTATATTGCATGTTGCTTGGATGTTTTATATTCAGATGTTAAATAAACTTTCTTGTTCTTGCAGAACAACAGTTGGACAAACTCTAACCAGCCCCCATTCTCTGTTCAAAGTAGTATATTGTAGAAGAAAAGCTCATTACTATTCTCCAAAGCCTTGTTTCAAAAAGAAACAGCTCCCTAAAGTTAGAGGCCGTGACATGGCAAATAAGGAAAATGAACTAGCCTGTGCAGGTAACCTGCCAGCCAAATTGCCTCCTGATGGTCGTACTTTCTTACTGAACGCCAGTGATGCTGGCCAATCTCAAACAGAGAGTCCTTCATCAAAATACAGTGGATTTTTTTCAGAGGTAAATTAAACATTTTATATTTTTAAAAATTTATGAATCAGAATATAAGCCATTGGAATTCTGTTTACTTTCCTCTGTTTTACTGTCTATGTTGGGATTTGATTACTCTTTGCTATAGACCACCTATCACCCAAATTTGCTTCGGTGTAGGGATTATGAGAACTGTAGGGGGAAGATGTACCAGTGAGTAAATAAAATCCATCAGCATAACTATAGAACTGAATATAATCCATTTTATTAATATCAAAATGATTTAATATAGTAACTCAACATTGCAAGATCTAGAGGCTGTCTGGAAACAGATGGGGGAAAGCAAGCTCATACTAAATCCTACTGAGACTGTCTTGCTGTTTGTACATTAACATCTAAGTTATCTGGGAACATTAACCCTGATAGTTGGTCTAGCCAGAATCATGTTTTCCTAAAGGAGATGATCTGTATCTTGAAACTTCTCTTGAACCCTCAGCTTTTGCTGCAGTAGCAGGTGCTACTGGAGGCCGTGTTGCCTGATGCACCCTAAATTGACCTATAAGCCCTTATGATAGTAACATAGGCTCATATCTCTGCTTAATCTGATTTCTTCAATGTGCATTATGTGGAGATGCCTTTGAGTCAACTTAAAAGCTTCAGCTGGTGCAAAATATAGCAACTCTGAGAACTCTCCACAGCAGAATTATTCCTGCCCTGGCCACATTGGTTGTCAGTACAGTATGTTTTCTGGCCCAATTCAGCATGATGTTCATTAGCTATGAAGCCCTATATAGTGTGCAGTGGGATATATCAAGATTAACTATCAAATAGGATTCTGTCTATGCAGTCTGGACATCTAGAATGGGACCCTTGAAAATCCAAGTTCTCCAAAGTGCAAATGTTGGGCTAGGCATGAAGATTTCTCAGTGATAACCTCCAGGTTCAGAACCATCTTCCCCAGAGGTGCTTATGGCTCAGATATTGCTCTCATTGAAAAATAACTTTATTTCAACTATATTTTGGTCTTTAATATGATTGTGGTAAACTATTGATATATTTATTATGTTTGATTTCTTCTGTTTTACTATTCAGAATACACCAAGATTAGAGCACTATACAAAAATTATAACTATATAACTACTAGAAAATAGTATTTTCTGTAACATGCAGAAAATAATTCAGTGTGAATAGAACGAATATGTAATTGAAAATCTAATGTAAATGCTTTTTCCATTCCATTCCTTTTCTGTAACTCTGTTTTAATTATCACTGCTGGAAAGAAGGCTGTCATGCTGTGACTACATTCTGTCTTTCTCTCAGAAGATGGACAGAACGTGCTGGCTACATAAATTACTATTCTTCCAGTAGGCTAATTCAACAACCTTTTTTGGTTCCTTCATACTATAGAGGAACATGCAAATTAAAGCAATGTCTGGCAACAACCCCTTGTGTTATTTGTAGAGTAATGCATCAAACATGGACTTAAAATAGATTTCACAAAATACTATATGTATAAAAAAACAATTGTTGTATAAAGTCAAGCTTCTGCAGGTAAAGTTCAACAACAAGCTGACCTCAGAACACTTGAATTGTCTGGAATCATGCATTTTTAAATCTAAGTAAATAAATAAAATAAAAAATCCATTCATGAGCATTCTGTCAGGCCCAGAAATCATCCCTCCTGTTCCATGAGCAACAGTTGCTTCCATTCACGGAAATACTGTTCTGGGAGAATATTTATTTATCATTAAACAACTTGTGCGGAGCTGCATATAGATAGCTTTAATAGACTCAGCTGATAGAAAATTCATAGAATCATAGGTCTTGGCTCATAACACTTAGACTGTTCTTGTGTTTCTAGGTTTCTGAAGATCATGATACAATGGCCCAAGTTCTCTTCAGTAGAAATCTCCGTCTGAATGTAGCTTTAACCTTTTGGAAGAGGAGAAGTATAAGTGAACTTGTAGCCTATTTACTGAGGTAAAGTTTTAAGAAGACTGCTGCTAGCTGAACTGAAGTCATATTGTGTGTATATGTAGGATTCTTTTTACAAAGAAGAGCCTGGATGGAAACGATGCATTAATCTTAGTGATTGGGTGTTCCCTCCAGGAAGTGTTATTTATATTTTATATAACAATAACAGTGGACTTAAATGCCAAATCCAGTCTAAACATCTGGATGATGATGATAATAATAATAATAAAAACTGGTGCATCACTTGAACACCACTGGCATTGACAAAATAACAGTCAATTGCAAAACATAGTTTTACTTGGAACAGCTTATATACTGCAATGATACCTTTAACACCATCAAACAAGTACATCTACATATTCCAGGTGAATAAAAATATCAAGTCCAGACTAAACATCTGGCTGAATATGTAACGAACCATAATAATAATGGAATGCGAGACCATAATTTTTAAACCTGTGGAATTCTTCACAGGTTTACTATGTACAGACTTTATCTGCATAAATTAATGTAATAATATTCAGCCATTTCTAATATACTACCCTTAGATACTGTCTTATGAAATGTATGTAAAAAGCAGTGACTAATGGTATATTTTTATGTTTCTAGGATACAAGATCTAGGAGTAGTTGTAGATTGTCTCCCTGTCCTTACCAGCAGGTAAAAGAAAAAACTAGAGGAAGGGGTTGATGAAATATATGTTATGTATATTTAGACATACTAATAATGCCTTGTTTCAGTTTACAGGAAGAAAAACCTTATATTTCTGTTGGTTGCTGTGTAGACCTTCTACCATTAGTAAAATTAATGCTTAAAAGCAAATTTGAAGAGTAAGTTTTTTAAAAAATATTTCTTATGTAATTATTTAGAGAATAAAAATAAAAGTTAATCTTTACCTTTTGTAGTTTGCTATTCCTGATAAACACACAGAATTGATGTCAAGGGTAGGATCAACAAGTGATTTTCTTGGTCTCATTGTCCTAACATGGAGGGCAAACGTGTGGCCTTTCCAATGTTGCTGAGCTATAAATTCCAAAATCCCAGGCAGGATGGGTTAAAGTAAGGGATGCTAGAAAGCCATCAGTTCTACAACGATTTTATATTTGCACTTAGTCTTCCTCAGCCTGATTTACTGATGCTAAAGATGTGCCTCCTACTATTTATATATTTAAAATCAAGCAATTTCTGTTAGTTCAGTTGTTTAAGTCTGTTCGGATAAAAAAGATTTTGGGGAAATCAAAAGCAGTGTTGCTGAACAGAATGACTTGGAAAAAATGTTTCCCAATTATAAGTTGGTTGAATTATACCCATATAACAGAGACATTTTGCCTTCTAAGAAAAAAAAAACGAATACATTATTAGGAAGATTTATTCTGCTTGTTTTTTCCATTCATTAAAAAAACCTGATTTCAAAAATTTCTTAGTAGTTTGCAACTGTTTTAAGGAATATTTTGCCAATGTTTAAGCTGTTTTTAGAATAAAGCTTTTCATAGTGATTTCTTTCCCCCCCCTAGATATGTAATTGTTGGTTTAAATTGGCTTCAGGCTGTGATTAAGAGATGGTGGTCACAACTTTCTGTCCATACGGATAAGATAGAAGATGGGTAAGTAACCCTTTTTAAACATTGCAGCTTTTTAAACACTATGACTTTTAGTATGACTGCTAAACTTTATAATAATAATAATAATAATAATAATAATAATAATAATAATAATAATAATAATAATAATAATAATAATAATAATAATAATAATAATAATAATATTAAAAAAGTTGAAAGAAAAACTTTCCTGATTAAAAAAAACCCTAGATTTTGTGAGCATACTGTTGGGAGCAATTCTGAAAATGATCAGATTAAACAGTATTAAGAAGTTTGATCGTATAGATCTTTCCCTTTCACTTAGTACTGAAAATTGCTATAAAAATGGAGAAACCTTTTTTTTCTATTAGAACTAGAAAATATGACTCATGGTAGATTTTCTTCCCTAATCTTCAATAACCTCTGTTATCTATGCTTTTTGACATGTGAAGCTGAAGGTAGAAAAAATAATTAACTTGAATAACAATTGTAAAGTAATTTTGTCAATGTAAGATGCACATAGAATTGTTTATTTGATTTATATGGTTACCCATCTCATATATGTAACTTTGGGGGGCTTACAATAAAATAGATAAAAACAAATACATTACATAAAATAAAAAAATATAGCAGTTAAGCAAATAAAATAACCATTAACAAAGCCAAGAGATGAACTCCATCTCACTTCCAGGTCCCCAGGCTCTGGACAAAACCAAATTTTTAGGGCCTTGTGAAAAGCCAGTAGAGTTAGGGCCCATCTAATCTCTGGTGGAAAGGTATTCCACAAAGAAGGTGCCATGTTGGAAAAGGCCAATCAGGATTTCTTAGCTCAGGGCTTTTCAACCTTTTCACCCATTGTACCACCTTTCAGATAAGGCCATATCCGAGTACCACCACTCACCCAGCAAGGTATCAAAACTTGACCAAAAAAAAAGGAAAAAATGAAAAAGTACAGATAGTCCTCGACTTACAACAATTCGCTTAGTGATTGTTTGAAGTTACAACGGCACTGAAAAAAACGAATTATGATCATTTTTCACACTTATGACTGTTGCAGCATCCCCAGGGTCATGTGATTTACATTTGGATGCTTGGCAACTGATTCATACTTATGATGTTCACAGTGTCCCAGGGTCATGTGATCAATGGCCGGGGGGCGTGGCCAGCTGATCACTCAGGTTGCAGGGTGCCTGTGGGGGGGAATCCGTGGGTCTCTGAGATGGGACTGGGGTGGGTGCCTGCCTTCCTTCCCTCCCTTCTCTCCCATTGTCCCTTCCTTCTTTCCTTCCTTTCCTTCACCTCCCTTTGTCCCTTCCTCCTTCCCTCCCTCTCTCCCATTGTCCCTTCTTTCCTTCCTTTCCTTCACCTCCCTCTTTGTCCCTTCCTCCTTCCCTCTCTCTCTCTCTGTCAAGTCCCCGTGGGCTCGACATAAACGGGTGGTGGGGAGGGGTCGTGGACGACATGCGGGGCGGCAAAGGAGACCAGCAACCAGCACCGTTCTACCTGGCAGCATGGGTGTCGGATCCGTGGGCGTCCCGACCAACAGCTGAGTGGTTCCGACTTCTGGCCGCCGAATAGCTGATGGGCGCGAGGCCGCGTGGGCGTCCCCACGAACAGCTGAGCAGCTCCTACTCTTAGCCGCCAAACTGCTGATGGGCGGGAGGCCGCATGGGCGTCCCCACGAACAACTGAGCGGCTCCTACTCTTAGCCGCCAAACTGCTAATGGGCACGAGGCCGCGGCAGGGAGCCAAGGGCCGATGGCGCGGCCTGAAGCTGAAAGGCTCTCTCTCCCAGCCGCCGAACAGCTGATGAATGCAAGGCCTGGACCACAGCTGAACGGCGCAGGGACACTCACGGGACTAGAAGGCTGCAGCTCTGCAGCTCCCATTGTCCCTTCCTTCCTTCCTTCCTTCCATTGTCCTGTGCTACGCCGGCCAGATCCCAGCCTGGTTTTGGCAGGCAGCAACACATCACGGCCCTGCCTGTGCGTGCACAGAGGCAGAGGAGAGCGCCCAGGGCAGGACGGGGATGTAGCCGGTTCACCTCCCATTTTCAGGCACGTACATTACATTACGAACCGGCTACTTCTCCCAGTTATTTTTCCCCTACCGGAGTCCAGCATTCAAGCCAGGTTCCCCGATCCTCTCTGTGTACATCGTTCTTCCCATAGCTCTCCCCAGTGCTGTCGAGAGTGTCACGCCCCACGAGGCCAGGTAACCTGGTTGGAGTCACTCCGCTCTCCTTCTGCAGGCTCCGCGCTGCCTCCCTGCCGCCATAGCCACTCCGGCCTCAGATACATGCGGCTGCCGGCGTCGCATACTCGGTGACGTCATCCCGACGAGCCGACAGCCAGCTGGAGGACCAGCTGGCTGTCAAAGGCAAGCAGTGCCTGGGAACAGGTTTGCTGTGGCCAGGCGAATGAACCTTGCCTCACAAACATTACTGGAGCCTGGCTGTTACCTGGGAGGCGAGTTGTGAGTTTTGTATGGACCTTGCCGGAGCCTGACAGAAGCCTGGAGCAGATAGCGGGCTATGGGGTGGGGTTAGCTCATAGCCAGCTGAATCCTTTTACAAGGGCCTGATGAATAGGGTGGGGTGGCTGAAGGTGTGGTGTGCTTAGGGCGTGACTGGGGCGTGACAACTGTATAATAGGCACTGGGAGAAAACCACTCCCAGTGCTAACTTTGTTTCAATGTGTGAGCGTTCCTGTTTTCCTGGCTTGTCAGCCTAGTTCAGAGAGGACGTTTAACAGAGAGATGCCTATTTCTGGCCGCATTACTACCGTTCTTAAGTTACATTTGCACCCGCCCAAAGGAAGAGAGCGACGCTTTTCTCCATCCTCCAAAGGAAGGGAGACAAACCCACATTGCCACCAAGTCACCCTTCCTTCGGGCGAAGTAATCTCCGGTCCCCACCTTTGAGACTGTTTCAGCCTGAAGCAGAGAGTTGGAGAGCTGCATCACTCTCACCGTTTGGACCCTCTACTTTTATGCTCCGGGAGCAGCTTGCCTTTCAAACCTCCGATAAGTAACGGAAAGGGAAGCCTGCTGCAAAGGCACATCTCCTGAAAAGATGAGGGGGGGGGAGAAAGGCGATCAGTCAGCCAAGAGCCCAGACTTTAAGCCTGCGATACAGGCAATGTAAGGGGAAACTGACTGGCGGGCGGGCCGGCCGGCCATCGCGGAAATGGGGATGGGTTAAATGCTACGAAACAGTGGGAGGGAGTCAGGCGGGCGCATTTCTCCCTCCACACCCACGTTCTGTTGGCTTCGCCTGGCGCGTGCCAGCAAAACGGCCTCGATTCCCACCTGCTGCCTGGGATGAGTCCTCCGGGAGGCAACGTGAGGGCCATGAGGGGTATTGCAAACTCACTGGGGGGGGGAGGAAAAGGAGATGGAAGAGAGTAAGGCCGCAACAGAGAGAGAAGGGGGAAAAGAAGGAGGGGCGGTTGTGATGTTGGCGCTCAGGGCCGCAACTCGAGTGGTCTCAAACCCCTTCCTGCGGTCTCAAACCTCTTCCTGCCGAGGGAGTGGACGGCTCTGTGTCCTATCAGGCTAGCGCTTGTTGTGAAGTAAGAAGAGAGGGGAAGGGCGATATGGATCCCGCTGACCTGCGTGCACAAGAAGTCAATCCGGTTGCTGCACAATGAGTCCCTGGGGAGGGCAGGGCCTTGCTCTGCGCCTACGCTCTTCGCGCGCCCTCCTGCAGAGCACGTTCGGTAGGGTTCGTGCAGGCTGCCGCCAAGCAGCATGTTTTCCACAAACAAGTGAGCTGGGAAGGAGCAGGGGGGGGGGAGGAAGGCGACGCCGCGTACCACCAGCCAGGTGATCGCATACCACCAGTGGTACGTGTACCACCGGTTGAAAAGCCCTGTCTTAGCTGATAGCACCCAGTGCTTTCGTTCCTACAGAAATAATATATTTCTGATCTTGAAAGTATGGCATCTATTGAGGTCTCCAGCATAGTACAAGAAAAAAAAATGTAGAATGTAAGTTAAAATCTGCTCTAAGGTTGATAAAATGTGTGTAATGGCCATCTCAAATTTCAGTTAAAATTATTTAAAAACATTTTTTCTGCATTAGCCAATAACTTACCAAAGGTACAATTGGTCATATACAGTATGTGAAATCTAGGTAAAATAGTTACCATGAGATGCTGATTGTTCTTTATTTATTGCATTGATATTCCATACTTTTGGCTTTCTTTTTCAGAAATACTCAGATTTTAAAAGAACAATTAAGTATATTGTGGAAACAAGCAAACCATCTTACTTTGGTTCCAGGATATACGGGTAATATAGCAAAGGTAACATATCTATTTGAAGATAATATATTTTTGAAATTAATTTATGTTCTTAATTATATATTTTATTTTTTAGTGGAATGTACCGAATTATATTCTTCTGCCCTTCCCTTGCTGTGATACTCAGTCTCATTTAAAGAGTTGGATTCTCTAGAGCTATATTGGAGATGGGGTGTCCCTTGGCATGAGCTGAAGCCCCATCATGTAACTTTGAAGGCAGCCTATTGAGTTACTGTTTGAGGTTAATTATTTGGAATTAGTAGTAGTTTTTTTTTTTTGTATACACAGTATCAATGCACTCATGTTCAGACAGATACTGGGTTAGTTGAACAAACCTCTCACGCTTCTCCCCTCTTGTCATTACTGAGATAGCAATTGAATCTGGTTTATATGTCTGCTCCTCATTCTCTCTTATCCTTGATTATTTTATCTGGTTATTATCTCGATCTTTGCTTTTCATGTTATCTTTCAGATAATAGAGAATACTATTTCCTGTATTGCAGACAGAAGGCTCTGAGAAGTGTATGTTATTTATACACCCAAGGACAGAAATATATGTAGTTTTGTCTCCTAATATCTCTGCATTAGTTATCCCTCACTCTGATCTTGTTAATTGAAATAGATAAGTTAGGAATGAGGATCTATATGCATTCACATAAATACAAAAATAGAACTTTCAATATAATTGGAGAAATGATTATCTGAGCAAATTAAAGAAAAGAACTCCAGTTTATACTTCGTTGTTTAATGCATCAAATGGGAGATACAGGGGGATATTTTTTGTATGTCAAAGGTTATGTTTCTAGGTCAATTTACTTGCTGTTGTATAGGTGTTAATTAAAACCTGAACAGGAACTAAAGGATATGTGAGTTACCAAAATATTTTACTAATGTTAATACATTATGCAAAGCTACAAGTTTGTTTAACTATAATTTATTAATGAAATATACTGATTGGCCGTGCACAAGTAAACCAAACTATGATGTACTACAGTTCCTATGTAATACTTCAAATGCTCTGATTTTTTTTTTTAAATCCTGTACTCAAACGTCAGTGTTTGTATTATATTTCTATAAAGAAATTTCTGAGTAAGAATAAAGATAAACATGCAAGTGTTTGCTAAAGCAGTGTTTCTCAACTTTGGCAGCTTGAAAATGTCTGGACTTCAACTCCCAGAATTCCTCAGCCAGCATTCTGGGAGTTTTATTTTATTTATTTATAATTTAATTTATACCCCGCCCTTCTCCTCATGGGACTCAGGGCGGCTAACAGCCTCATAAAAACTACAATACAAATACAATAATTAAAAGCCGAATTAAAAAGAAATATTTAAACAGGCCGATCAATTAAAATTACCCTTAAAAATCCCCTGAAACTTTAAAATCATTAAAAATTATCCC